CAGAGCAGACGCAGAGACATTCTGTAAAGACACGGGACAGAGCAGACACAGAGACATTCTATAAAGACACGGGACAGAGCAGACAGAGACATTTGTCCAGTAAAGTGTGGTGCAGGAGTGGGACATGCTCCAGAACCAGTCCGGCCTGTCACAACAGAACCAACATGCAGGACCTGACTCTGTGGTGTAGTGACGTCGTCATGTTATCCGTGCACGCGACGTGTAATCTCTGCTCTTCATCGTCACGTACAACACGGAGGTGTGTTTGATGTGTCGGCGGTGAACCTCACCGAGCAGCCCGGAAGGCGCAGTGGAGGACGCGTCCTGCTGCTGGTTGTTGCTGGTCCGGTGCTGCTCGCTCGGCTCCGTCCTCTCCATCCTCTCCTCTGCCTCGTGCGTGCGCTCGACGCCTGCGCCTCCGTCAACAGCCGCGGCGGCTCCAGCTGCAGCGGGGCCCGCCGCGTGCGCGCTGCCCGAGCACAGAGAGGGCTCCATCCGCCACAGAGGGAGAGGCTGCTGCTGGTGCACGGCCGGCGCGTGTAAACAGGCTGAACCCACACACGCAGGCATGAGCAGCGGAGGGGGAGGAGGAGGAGGAGGAGGGGGGAGGAACATGGCATCCACACGCGCCTGTCGTGACTGCGTGACGACAGTGGGGAGGGGTACACAATTCGACACAACACCTGGTCAACAGGTAGAGGCGTGTGAAGGATGATGACAGACTGTGTGAATTCTGATTAAGCATCAACTGTTCTATGTCATATAGGCTTCGCCCTTTAAGGCTGTCGCTGATGGGTTTATCCCGTTATGTGTAGCATAAGCACTGAAAAAATTTAGTCCACGCCCACCTGCTGTGTGGACCCCACCCAGTCCGTTACGTTAAGAGCGGGAAATCGGCTCTCATTTTTTCTTCAGCGAGCTAAAAATAGCACTGTCAGAAGAACAAAGAAGATAAATTGTGTAAATGACCAACCTTTGTGAAGGATGCTTGGCCCGGCAATCGACCTCTGGTCGTCCGGTGAGTTCTCCTCCCCAAGGAGAAGATGACGAGCAGTCTTATTCCAAGGTAAGCGCCGGGGAACATTTCCCAGTGACAGGTCACTACACGCTGGACAACGCCATCTTGTATTTTTTCCTCTTATCGCCGAACCTCGGGGCGAACCGGATGGTTCCTCCGGGACAAGGCGTGCTCAGCTGCAGCCCCCGCTGCTCATTCCCTCCTGGGGAGCGTAGTGTAGGTGGAGGGGGGCTGAGTGAATGCTCACCCCATCCCACCTCGTTTCGCATCGGCGATCACACCGCTCCCGGCCGACAGCGCCCTCATGGTTGCCCGGCGGACCCCAGGAGGAGGCTGACATGAAGGGACCCCCTTTTTTCTACGTCCCACGCCTTTTCCCGCCAGTTCGGATGATCGGCGGGAAGGTTGTTTCACTGGGCTCCACTCTGGCTCACCGTCTTGATCCATACGGCCCCGTGTTCCAACAGGACGTTCGACGGGCGAGGCCACAGACGGTTCTTTCCTGGTAGATTGGGGGAGTCGGTCCCCAGTCCGCACCCATCACCAGAGTTGAGGGATTCACCGAGCGGGGCTATTCCTCGGTAACCCCCCCTGGAGCCAAGCCTCGCGGAAGCTTTCGGAGCGAAGCTGCCCAGGTCGGAGCAGCGTCCCGTCCCTCCGGAGGAACACGAACCAGACAATGACCACGCTCTCCAATCGAGCCCACCAATGTGTTTTTCAGGCGGCCGCAGCTAGCAACAACGTGGCGCTGCTAGCATATGGCCTGTCCAAGGGACTGAAGGCCGCAGACCTGCCTTGGAGACAAAGAACTCCTTCTGTAAGGCAGCTGACGCCAGCTCAACATGTGTGCCTCTCCTACGGTTTGCCTGTCGAGGACTGCAGCGTGGATGACGATGATCCAACGATCCACCTGGCTTCGTTACTCCCCTCGCTGCCGGAGAAACTGCACAAGACCTGATGAAGCCCATCGCGGACGCGCTGTTCAGAGCAGCTTCAAACCATGCTGGCGAATTGAAGCAGTCGGAGGAGGTGCCAGAGGCTGTGCGCCACCTCATCAAGCCGCGCGGCTCATCCCGGCCCGCTGGAGGGACCGTCGCGAGCAAGCATCGACTTTTCCACGGCCGCGGCTCTCGCTCAGTTCCACCACCAGCCCCGCCCGTCAGAATCCAGCCCTCTTTATTCCGGCAACCTGCAGCTCAGCGTTTCCCCAGAGTTCGCCTGCAAGACAGCGCTCTGGGCAAACAATCGCAGAGCTCATGAGAGAGAAGTTTTTTAAAATGACGGTCTCCGGAGGGTGTGTGTAAAAGTGACACGAAAGTTGAAATAAAACATCATTTAATGATCAAAGTGTCTGTTTTTTAGCCAGTCTGTAAGCTCGGATGAGCTCACAGCGGCCGCACACATAAGGAGCCAGTGTCCTTAAATAAGGTTTTTAAACTCACCGTCGCTCTAAGACATGACGAGTCGATCACACGGCACAATGGTAAGCGAAAATAACTCGTTATCAACTAGAACTGCACGATCCTCACTCAAGCGGTGTCAACTCGCACTCGTGGGATGAAACAGCCTCCACACATGAGCCGGTGTCCTTAATTAAAGGTTTTTTAACTCACCGCCGCTCTAAGACATGACGAGTCGATCACACGACATGATGGTAAGCGAAAATAACTCGTTATCAACTGGAGCTGCACGATTCTCACTCAAGCGGTACCAACTCGCACTCGTGGGATGAAACAGCCTCCACACATAGGAGCCGGTGTCCTTAAATAAGGGTTTTTTAAACTCACCGCTGCTCTAAGACATGACGAATCGCTCACACGATCCTCACTCAAGCGGTGTCAACTCGCACTCGTGGGATGAAACAGCCTCCATCCAACGGCGCTGCGTTGATGTTGGCGCACACACACAGCTGCCCGGCGCTAACCGGCTCCCATCGGTATAAATGTGGTCCGCAGGCTGGTTCGGGTGGAGGTCCTTCACTCTCACAAGAAGCGACACCCGTCTCAACGAATCAAACGCGGGCAGCCGTCACCCACCGCGTCTCAGCGTTCGGCAGCTCACAGCAGCATAAAGCGTGAGGCAGCTGAACGAACCCGGTGATGAGTCCCGCCTCCCTCCAGCGCGCGCCCCTCCAGCGAGAGCGGCGCGCGTCCCTCCAGAGAAAACGTGTGCTCCCGCGGGGCTAGCAGCCTTCACTCCAACAGCACGGCGTAAATGAAGTCACGCCCTCCGCCTCTCAACGTTCGCACAGCGACGTCAAACGCGCAGCCCCACCGCGTCATCAGCTGTCACACGCTTCGCCTTCAGCACAAGCCTCGCCTTGGATCACACAGAAAACATTCCGCGACGCATGACGGCGGTTGAGGGGCGGACTGCTGACAGCCGTACAAAACGTGACACATCACTTAACGCACGTTCACCTTACGAACGTTACGTAGAGTGGCTAAAACATGCTCGCCGTTTTTACAGGTGGATGGACAGGGTGTTATGCAAATGGTTACAAGTTACAGTTTGCAACCCGAACCCCTCCATTCAGAGGAGTTATAAATACGGTCCTGTCATCATCAGACTAAATCTCATCCCTAAATGCAGAAGTCCAAGTGTTTCTGATAAAAGTAATCTACAGAGTCCCCCAATGGAGAGAAAACACAGGGTTTTACTCACGGATCGGAGGGATGAGACCGTTTTTTGGACCTGTTGTACAACATCCAGAGAACGCATACCGATCATCCCAAAACACAGAGACGAGAGTTTTTGTTTTTACCTGGATGATCTGCTGCTCCTGTCACTCCAGACAGGAGGCGCTGATGCAGGATCAGGTGTTGACATCACACCTGTTAAATCTGGGCTTCGCCATAAATTGGAAGGAAGCTCGATTTTCCCGGCCCAGACAATTGTTTATCTGGGAGTGGAATTAAATTCAACCACCATGAAAGCTCGTTTATCACAAACGAGATTCGACACTTTTAAAAGTCAACTCCGCCACGTAAGACCTGGCAAGTGATAACAGCTGTCTCCGTCATGAAGCTGTTGGGAATGATGTCATCAACTCACACAGTGGTTCCGCTGGTTTGTTACACATGAGACGCCTCCAGAGGTGGTTTGCGCGTCTGCGTGTGGATCCAGTAAAACAAAACGACGGATGATCATTGTCCCTTCCTCTGTGAGAGCAGACCTCCGACTCTGGGGAAACACCCTGGTTCTGTCAGAGGGAGTTCCCGTCAGCAGACCCACGTCACACGTGTCAGTCTTCACGGACGCGTCGCTGTCAGTTTGGAGGGGGACATGCCTATCCCAAGCAGTAGGGGCACTGTGACCCCACCACACATCAGCCCACATCAATGTTTTGGAGTGTCGCACAGTACTGAATGTGATTCAACACTTTGCTCCCGTGCTACAGAATCAACACGTGTTGATTCACACAGACAACATGGTGACTGCTGGGTACATAACCACCAAGGGGTGTGCGTTCAGCCCAGATGTTACACATTGCGCGAAAGCTACTGTGTTGGGCTCATCAAACCTGCTCTCCATTAGAGCGGTTTACATATCCGGTGTTCTGAACAGAGGGGCAGATGTGATGTCCAGGGGCGGCCCACGTCACGTGGACCAGACCCTCCATCCAGATCTGATGTTTTCAGACGTGGCAGAAGTTGGCAAAGCAGATGTGGACCTGTTTGCGACGCGAGAGAACGCTCAGTGTTAACTATGGTTTTCCCTGAGCCCGCGAGACAATCCATCGCTGGGGGTGGATGCATTTGCTCACAGCCCGTGGCCCAAAACGCTTTTGTACGCGTTTTCTCCCACCTCCTCTGTTTTTACGGTTCCTGAACCGAGTTCAGGAGGAGGGATTGACAGCTCTCCTGGTGGCTCCCGAGCGTGTGAACGCACCATGGTTCCCAGTCCTGCAACGTCTGTTGTCGGGTCGCCCGTGGAAACTGCCGTGGAGGGAGGATGCTCTCCTTCAAGCAGGAGGAGCGATCAGGAGTTACCCAGAAATAGGTCAGCACCTGTGGGTCTGACCGCTGAGCGGTCCCACTTAGAGAGGATGGGTCTCCCTCAGGAGATAGTGTGCACAATTCAAGATTCACGTGCTGCATCTACCACAGTTCTGTACACATCAAAGGGGACGGCTTTTCAGCGCTGGTGTACAGAGAA